GGAGGTGGGAATCGAAAGTGAAATTCTTTAGTTTTTGTTGTAGAGCAATGAAATTTGGCATGCTTACTGGAAACTGCGCTAAATGATAAATGACAAAGTTTCATTCAGCTATCTCCAGTAGTTCTGGCATTATAAATTTTTTTATCCATCAGTGTACTACCAAACTTGCCCAAAGCCTGGTGTGACAAAAAAACATGGTAGAAGCCTATAGTTGCTCTTATATTTTAGCCATTGGGATGGTTGATGTCGTGACATTCTGCAAATATTTTTATGACTCTGTTTTTATTTTACAGAGAACATTGTATACATGCTTGTAAATGTGGTCGTTATCATAATGTGAAATTAGCTAAGGAGTAAAAATACTGAGGTAGTAATTAACAAATATGAAAACGTCACGACATAGAAAATTCACTGAGGAACACAATGCAAAAAACCACATGAAAATCCGTCAAGCCATAGTCATGCAAGCATCGTGGCAAGCTGGACAGTCGGGTCAAAACACGTTTCTGAGAAAACTGGCGTTAAAGTTGAATAGTCAGTAAAGGTCCATCAAAATGCCCCGGGACTGTAATACTTTGTGTCTTTGCTTGCGAGGGTCTTCTTACGTCCTTTCTCTTTCATTTTTTCTGCACTGCGTGCTTTTCGTTTTCTTTGCTGGTCTTTTCTTCAGCTCTTTGAAGGGCGAGGCTAGCAGGTTTGATGCCCACGGACTTGCACATTTCAGTGTAGGCTCGCAAATTCCCAAAATTGTAGCGTGCAACTGCTTCATGTACTGTTGTCTCCACTGCGAACAATGAAGCGTGTTGGTCCTTTGAAGTCAGTGACCAAATAACTGAATGCAAGCTTTCCGCCGCATTCTGAGTTTTGTTGCCTTTGCATCGCTCCAACAGTTGCGGGTCAGAGAGACGTTGGTATACAGGCAGCAGAGCCTCCGCTACACGTTTCGACAGGTTATACCTGTGAGGTGGTGCTGGCTCCATTTTGGCCTGTGCTGAACGATGTTTGCACCAGCTATCAGGGCCAGGTGGGCAGAGCTCATGGTGAGGCTCGTCGTTGGTGGACGTGACGTGATAAAAAGTGGCCATCACGGCCCTTTGCATGTCAGGGACACTTGTGTGTTTTCGCAAGGCTAACCCGTAGTAGCTGGTCAGTTTTTTAATCAACTCCTGCGTCAGTCCACCTCTCCCACCCAATGGCTCCCCTTTCTTAGCTCTTGTCACCAGTGTGCGGAGAGCGGTGCCCATTCTCTTCTGCACATGGTTCACGCAGTCTTCTTTGGTCAGTGGTATGAAGCCGTACACCTCATCTTTGCACAGAGCAAGATAGGTTCGGCTGTCACCATCACATATAATGTTGGTGTAGCGGAGGCCATACCTGCTGACAGAGCGCCTGAAAAGTGTCAGAGCAGCCTCCACTTCCATCTGTCCGGAGCCAACATCAGTATTCTTCTGACATTGATGTTTCTCAGCCCAAGTGACGAAGTTGGGGTCGCTCTCTGCTGGTTGTTGACAACACCCAAGACAGAAGTTGGAAAGGACTGTGCAATCCAGCACAAGCCCCGTGTAAAACTCAATAATACATCCTACCCCAATGTGTGAGCTGTGGCCTCTTGTAAGCCACGTGCCGTCATACACAACTGTGATGTTGTTTGGGCTTGATGGCTGCATCTTACTGTACACGTCTTTTACCGCAAGCACAGCATCTGCAAAGATGTTTTGTGCAGCTTCCTCTGCTCCTGGTTTGAATGTTTTTTTTTAGGTGTTCCTGATAGGTTTTTTGATGAATGCCCCGATGAGAGACATTCATTGTAGCCCAGAAGTCATTCAGGGCAGTGGGCCCTTTTCCAATGGACTTGATTGCTTGCATGGCTCTTAGGTTGACTTCAAAAGCCCTTCCTTCGGATTTTCTACTGGATGACCAAGGTGAATGAATAGAGCCACAGGAAGCACACAAAAGTACCAGTTTTACTGCCAGGCCCAATTTTGTCCCATGCTGCACTGACAAAGTCTTCTTACAACATTTTGGGCAGAGTGCAGGTCCTATTAGGGAATTCATGGCAGAAACCTGAATTAGGGTGAACTCATTCTCTTTTGTTGCCGATGTTTGCTCCGTTTGCTGCGCGAACCCGAACTTCCGCTCCGTTGCCGACACCTCGCGAAGTGCATCGCGGACACTGCTGGCTTGCTTCTCGGCGCCTTCCGAGGACACGAAACGAGGTTCCAGGTGTATTTGAACGGTGCGCTTCCGCTGAGGCAAACGATCGCCGACATCCTGGACAGCTGGCACCACGTCGTCGTCCGCCGCCGCGAAAACGAAACTTTTCTCGCGTTCACACCGCACCGTGATGCCGCGGCTAGTTGATGGCCCCGGGTCTTCAGTGTCACTGCCAGGCGTCGATTCACTGTCACTTTGAACAGCCGGCACCGCATCGTCACCCGCCGCAGCGAAAACGAAACTTCTTTCGCGTTCGGGCCGCACCGCAACGTCGCGGCTAGTTGACGGCCCCGCGTCATAGGCCTCACTGCCGAGCATCGGCAGCGAGCAGGTGTCGGCTTCCGACGACACGTAGCTTGGTGGAGACGCGGTACTCGGTTCGTCTGATTCAATCGCTGCTGACTGCTTCGTTTTCCCAACAGGAGGCTTGCGTTTACGCTTCCCGTAAGCGTACTTCGTCCGGTACTTCGTCCGGTACTTTGTCCTGCGCTTCCGGTCCACGCGACGATCCATTGCGGGCGCTAAGCCTCGCGCTAGAGAAGAGTTGGCGTATCGGCGACCGTATCGGCGTATCGGCAGGGGATTCGCAAACTATAGTGCGCCAGCGTGTGCGTATCAGACGTGCGTGCGCGGAGCAGACGACCAGCGCAAGCAAGCGCGTCCCAGCAGCCACTCACAGAGCGCGCTCAGTACCACGTGACAGGAGCGACCAATGGGTGCGCGTCTAAGGCGTCGCGGATGCCTTCGCATTTTTTCTGTTTGTGCGTTTATCTTAGCTCGTAGAGTCGTGGTTTCACCGGGAGAAGTACGGCGGTGAAGCAAGCTTTCCAGTGACACCAAGCTTTCCGCGAGCGGCGGCGAAGGCGCGGAAGTATCGCGCTCGGAAATGGGCCATTTTCGCGCAGATTTCAGCCAGCTTTTTGCGTTCCGCGGTCAGAAAAACATTTTTTAAGCTTACTTTGAGATCGTTTTCGGCGGAAATATTTTTAGATATGATAGAAATGGTGATGCAGAATCCAAATCTGCCCTTATCCAAAATTCGTTTTTTTGCGAGAATTTCGCGATTTGATCCCCGCGTCCCCCCTTAAACAGATCCGCAGACTTCTCACCGGTGGCTATATAGTTCAGCAGGAGCTTGTCATGGTCCAGCAAAATGAATCCGCCAGGGACTCAGCGACACACGCCGTTTCAGCCCCCTATTCGCGCCTGCCGCAGAACAAGCAGCGTAACGGCGCTCCGTCTTTTCGAGACAGTCATTAACAGCGCCCGCTGCAGAGCAAGCAGCGTGTACGGCGCTCTACCTTGAGACTTGAAACGGATTACTCTGCTGAGCCTTCAGTAGCTCTTCGTAGCCGAAACCAACTACCATTCCCCCAAAGGGGAGAGTCTGGTATCGCTCCCACTCAGAGGACTGCAGCAACCGCCGCGTGCATGACATCACGGGTTCGCTTTTGGCCCCGTGGCTTTCAAAAAGCTCTCCCGCTCGGCCGCTATGCAGGGCGCCGCTTACTTGGATAGCATCCAATGTCGTCCACATGGGGACTCCCCTTCTTTGTCGCTGTTTCGCCCCTGACGCTTGCATGTGCTGAAGGCATCGCGAGCAGTCGCACCGGAATCCAGGCTCTCAGCAGACAACAGGGAGCACGAGATAGCGCGTCAGCTACCACGTTGGTTGTGTGTCAACCCCGAAAGGGGTGAACACACGGACGGGTGCCAAAGGCAGATCTGCTTGAAAAGGCGGCATCTGCTTGAAAAGGTCAGCAGACAAAAATTCCACGAAGCAGGCATGTTGCGACGAGCCCGAATCATGCAGGCAAACTGACTCGCTAAAAGCAGTCAGAAGCTCAGAGCTCTTGATACCACGTTGGGTGCCAGCGTGGTGTACACGTATCCCGAAGGAGTACGGCCACAAGCGCGGGTCCGGTCTTAGCGAGCCGCAGGGCCTGCGTTAACCGCTGCCGTGGCAAAAACACAGTACTTCTCAAGGTCGCAACACTCTATTGTCGGCGGTAACACCAAAATGCAGTACAGACTCCTTTGTAAAGGCACGGTGGGAAAGCAAATAGGCTTATCCACGCCACGGGCGAAAAGTACTACACAGGGGTGCCGTGAGCATGTCTCCGGGGTAAAAGTGATTCACAGAGACACCGGGACAAAGGCCTGGATGCTTGAGCGAGGGCAAAGGCGCTCGCGTTGGCTTCTGAGAGATATGGGTCGGCGCAGCCTGGCCACGCACTAGGACACCGCACCTCTCTTCGGCCTAGCGTTCACAAGGGGCAACAAAAGGTGAGCGTTCGCCGCGGGCGCGAAGTGTCGTAAGCGAAGTCTGACGAGCCGACGTCGGGGAAAGAGTCGACGGACGGGGAAAAAGATGCATGCTCACCCTCAGTCGTCCCGGAGAGATCTGACTTGCTCCCGACGCGCAAAACGTCTCGGGAGACTTTGCGCAGGGTGCCACAGTCGACATCCGCTATCGGGTGAGAGGGGTTAAACGTCACTCTTCGCTCCCCCAGCGCGGCAGACAACGGAGGAGGGGAGTCATGGCGGGACATGAGAACGGCAGAAAAGGCAACAAAGCCTGCGCAAAGGCAGCGGGCTAGCCTCAATTTCCACAGCTTTCAGATGGCCCTTTTGCCGACTCATATGCCAAACATGATAGCAATTAGTTTCGACCACGTAACAGCGACCATTGCCGATTGGGATCAAGAAATCTGACCAAGACTGGCACTCATTACCATAAAAAAAATCATGGAGGCCCTAGTGGAATGTCACAATCATGGGCCAACCTGAGGCTGGTGCGGTGCCTCGGCAGCCACCCTGGCAGAAGAGAAAAGCTGTGCAGCACCTCCTAGCATTGCTCCACTTGCTCCGGGAAAGCCGTTGAGGAAAGGTGGGCAGCCACCCAGGCCTCCTGCATTCAGCGTCGCCTGCTGAGGTTGCTGCAAAAGGGAGGAGACCTTGTTGCCATATCTGAACTTGACACAACTACTATTCATTCTAGCATGCACTATTGAATTATTTATACGGAACCTAAATAAATTATATGTGATCTAGTTGAAATTGCCTATCTTTTATCTGCCCTAGGAAGATTTTTATGCGGAAACAGTAGTTCACAGATTATTACAGCGTTTTTCTGCTTTTGTGTTCTTTTAAAAGCAAATTCACCTGAACCTTCCATGAAAATGAAACTGAAACTACTCTCAACGGAGTCGAGAGTAGGCCTAACCTACGTTACCGCCATGAAGCTTTTGCATAATTTTATAGCTAGCTTTTCTGCAATGCAATTAGGTCAACTAATTGCAGCTGGTCACTTCTGCAAATAGCGTATTCAAGTGCAGTTTCTTTGACTTGCAAAATGTACACTCAGCTCTCTTGATATGAACACGCATAATATACAAGCCCCAGCATCTGCGAGTAGGAAATCATCACCACTTGAAGCGCAACAGGTGCTGCTATTTTTTGGGCGAATATACGGTGCACATTTGCCAATTATGAGCCATCACAATGTGACAAACGCTATAGATCGCAAATCCACACAGCCTAACAATGACACACTTTTGGTCCAATTACCAGTGAATGTTCCGTCACTAAGAAGTATTATGTGTTCACTTAGTGGCAAGAAAAGTCCTGTCACGTGCCATCAGAAAATTGGAGAACTGCAATTGTTGCACACTGGACTAGTAAAGTGGTTGTTTTGGCATGGGCCGTTTAAAAAATTGAGGACGTCAGATGAAGTATTGACCACAAAGAGAACATATTCATAGCTATAAAGTTGAGGTTTATTTATTTTCCTTTTGCTCCGAAATACAGTCTGGTACAGAACTTGACGCCGCTGCTGCATAAGACTGATGGCCACGGACATGAAAAGAATAATGTTTAAGTTCGTTTAAGTTCACTGTTTTTTTTTTCCTACAGGAAAAATCTGAAACATGCCATATTCTGGCTAAATTAAATAAGCTTGGTGTGCATGTGATTAAGCTAAAAAAAAAAAAAGGTGGGGCATTAGTTCAAGTGGTATCTGAATGACCAATTCCACTCGCTGTTCCATCTCTCCCTGAACTATTAGGGCTGGGCAGTATCAAAGATACATGAATCTTTCATACCATCTTCGATACTCTCTGGCTATCCTATATCTGTATCACGATACATCTTGTACCTGTATTTGCGGTACATTTAATATTGTACCATGAATCTTAAGATTCGAAATACTGCTAGCACCGTCGTGCGACAAAGCCACCTGTCCACCCTAATCCTCCAGCGAGGGCAGGTGTTGAATTGTGCGTATCACTATTGGTGGGGCAGTCACATGGTGGCACTCGTGCCATCTCTATCAAAACAAGTGAGCAAATGTCTATGTGCATTTGGCCTTTCATCCTGAATTTTTTAGTTTTGTCGGTGCCAGGACACTTGCTCATAGGCAGTGTACTTCTCTGCAAACTCCCACGTGTGTGGTGTCTTTCATGCAAATTCTGATGCCGCTGCATATGTTGTTATTGAACTACTTCTTGCGTGACGCTTCGTTACAAAGTCGAAAAATAGAAAAATGAAGCTGCTTGGCGTCTCGCGGCTATCACACCCAAGTGTTTTGAAAGATATTGTGGGTGCAAGTTCAACTTGTATACAATAGGAGTCAAATATCTGCAATTGAGACCCCAGCCACCATCGCACTATCTATGCCGATGCTAGAATAAATAGAATAGGCATTCACCTAACAGAAGATATGTTCATATACCGTATCCTTGCTCATCCTGCTACATAATTCAAGAGGTTATTTTAGCCATAACTTGATTGTTAGCAAGTTCTTTCATGTAGTCTTCCATTTGCCTATATAGGTTTTGTAACATGCTGCAAAAAGCTTTCTCTGCTTTCTCATTTTTATATTTCTGCAACATTGCTACTGCTTACACGTCTAGATTTCTATGAGTTTGCTGTTATGCCATGGCGATGCTAAAACAAAGGCAAAATAATCTGGTTGTACCTGGTTGTACCTAGTGTGCAGTAACAAAATTATGCTTGCGACTTGGTATAATAGTGCAACTGAGTTTGCTTTACAATAATAAAAAATATAAGTACACACGTCAAAGATATGGAGATTTGAGAAACATTAGAGTAAGAGTGTGCGAATATTCAAAATTTCGAATGTTTTTCAGATAGTGTTCGCTATTAGATTTGCACCGACATTTTACTATTCAAACATCCCAGGGACAAATATAGTCGACAGACTGCCAGTGGCCTCTTCAGATTTTAAATATGCTTCACCCCATCACACACTTCGTGGAAAAGAAGAAAATGCTGTTTCCAACATGAAGTTGATAGATGTGGCAAAGGTGGGGGCTCAATCAATAGAGTTCTGGAGCTGAAATTTCAGCACATTTAGGTGCAACGTTAAAGAATCGCAAGTGGTCAAAATCTCAGGAGTCCTTCACTACGGTGTCTCTCATATAAAGATTGTCAGTGATGAAAGTGCCTTTTTACTTTTCGGCATACTTTGGAGCAGCCATAAGTGTTTTCAGAGCAAAAAAAAAAAAAAATTGTTTATAGCAGCTATTGGTGTTTAGAAGCTGATATTAAATTTGCCATACAGTAATTGGAGTTCAGAGCATTGTTGCAGCAGCTGATAAATATTAATATTTCACATGAAATATATTTAATAGACAACTATCAATGTAAATTTCACGTAGCGAACAATGGCAGGATGTCAGAAATGTACTGTGAAATGAGTTACAATTTAAAATACAAGCATTTGTGGCAGAAATCAAATAAATCAAACCGTAAAAGCTAAGCGCTACATTTTAGAAGTAACCGCAGCCCCACACAACTGTTCCCAAATAAGCAGCAGATAATCGGTATGAAATGAAAGCAATGCTGCTCATTTTAAAATTTCACCACATTAGCCTGCATGTCTAGCAGAAAAAAAAAAACAATGGCCAAATGAACTAACTATATGCTTGAGATGCCATTCTTGTCACACAAGTGAGATCAGAGCTGATAATGCTGCACACTTGTAACACACTGGGATGATAATACACAGCTTCTTTTCAGTTTCTTCAGGACTTATGAGTTGGTCAAACAGTAAAAGTTTGTCATTCGCATTCTCTCATCGTCATTTTGGAGCAGGTTTCGTGCAATTACTAATAAAAATTACTCTTTGGAGCAGCATAGAGCAGAAGTTCTCTTCTGGAGCAGTTTAGAGCGATTGGAGCAGCACTTCCATCACTGGATTGTGGTATTGAGACGTTCAACCCAAATATGATGATTATTAAATTTGAGCAGAAAGTCCAAAAAGTTGGACACCAAAGAATATTAGCATCCAGAATTTCAGAGCTTCCTATACATTGACATTTCTGAGGCTGATATGGAAATAACGTACCAAGTTGGGCTAGTTGTTTACATTCTATTTAAAGGCTTATTACCTGTGCTGTTGAACACAGATGAAGACAAGTGAAAACGCCCGCAGACTCCCTAACGTTTAATGGTTTAATTGACTGGTTGGTAGGAACAAACTTTGACATATACACCACAAACGTGTGATGAATCAAGCTTACTGGACAATGGTACATCCCAAAACCACAATATAATTATGAGGGATGCCGCAGTGGAGGGCTCCTGAAATTTCGACCATCTCGTGTTCTTTAAAGGGGCACTGACAAAAATTTTGACCTTGCGTTTTTCTTTTCTTTCTGAAATCTGATGCTGTAGGACTGTTAGTCATAACACGGTACATCGTTTGCTGCAGTGTGTGAGAGATAATGAATAACAGGCTTCTCATGACCGATTAGTCTCAGTTTCGGTTTGAGAGAGCTCCCAAAAACGACAAGCAGCCAAGTGCAACTGTCACCAACCATACTCTGCTTCATATGCAACGCTGTGGAAGCTAGCGAGACTTCTTGCAGTCCATGCATTTGCAACGAAAAATAATTCAATGTTCTTACCACACCAATAAACTTTTTCCTTATATTGCGGCACAACGTAATTGAAGATATTTTGTCCCTTACAAACAAAAACACCATAGAACGTCTGATTTTATGCGGCTGCATAGCTTATGTGATACAGGCTCTCTGCTTTGGTTACGTAACAACAGCGGCTACCTGGACTTTTCATCTCGTGAGACAGTATCAGTGCAGGGGAGGATAGAGAGTCGTTTGGTCCCCACATTCTTTTGCGCTCTACCTGCTTTCTTCTATTCATCACTCACACCAACGGAGAGCACAAAGAGGCGCAAGGTTGAACTGGCACTAATCAGATGAAACGGAGTATAATAGCGTGTGCAACTTTCAACAACATTGGTGCACAGAACTGTGATCTACTTCTGCACAGTCCGCATAAAGAAGTCCTCTCAAACAAGAAACGGGACAGCAGTATCGCCAAACACAAAACTTTCTATGCATGCGCCGTGGCCACAGACTCACAAGCAGCTGCCAATAATAGTCTGTTAAAGCTAATGCGAAAAAAGAAAAGGCGGCTATGAAGTGATCTAAACATGTTGCAGCGTGGTCACGTGAGAGAAGTAGGGGGGTCACCAGGCTCTAGGTGAGCAAGGCCTAGACCTACACCGTCCGGGACGGTGGACGCCGATCGCTCGGTAAGCTGCTGTGTGTGGCGAGCGATAGGGCCACCTCACAGAGTGGATGTCTCCTCGCAGCTGCCTCTTCTGCACCTAGGCTGGGTGCTGGGTGGATGCCGGTTGTTGCCGAGCGACTCCTAAGGCTCTGCGCAGCCGCCTGTCGCACGCAGCACAACTAGGTGAATCATGGCGTTGAGGTGTTGCACTTCGCTTCCCCTCACTTTATTTATCTTGTGATGCACGAATTAGGAAAAGTGACCTTTATTTTTGAGTTGGGCGTCTCGGCCGCCGCCGATGTATTAGCTAGCAGTACAGACCATCGTACCACGTGGGCGAATAAGCCCAAAGCCATCAAATTTCCCTAGGCCCTGTTCTATTTTTTTTTTCTGTCGAGTGTTTGGAATGTACGCAGCGGGAGTGTTGTAATCTACAGCTGGCTGTCTTCTGCCCATCATCAGCGCCGCTGGCCAGGAATGGGCTCGTAAGGTCAGGCGAACAAGATGCCCGGGACCTGCACAACTGCCTGCAGTCCCTCGTGAGTGCTGGTCGCAACTAGAAGACGTGTCGCCGCTATTGACGGTTCGTCACGCCGACGGCAACGTTGGTACTGAGGTGATGTCGAGCCGGACAGTGCAGCAGTGTCGACCGCCGGCGGTGTCGTGGTGCAAGAACATTATGAAGAAACGTGATGTGATTTTTTTTTTTTAAAGCTTGTGTAGCTAATTTCTTTGTCTTTTCGGAATATGGTTTAAATTAAGGTTGAGAGGATGTGGGGGTGCTGACATCCGCTATAAAGTTGCTTACGCTGCGTGGCGCACATGTCTCGACCAAAAGCCGCATTTTGGGCTTCAACCACTGGGCGATGGCGTTGTGTTCGCGTTGATTGTTAGAGTGGTAGCGCTGGCAGTGACTCCTGGCAGAAGCAAGCCTTGGTGGCGGACGAAAGTTGAGCGAGTCTCTTTTGCGCGCGGCGGTTGCCGCGAACGGTTGTCTCTCGCGGTGGGTCTGCCGAGGACGGCACCGCGGCCCGCCTGCGGTAGGCCCACGTGGTGAGTGAAGCATTGGCGATGCCGCCTTTTGTGTGCTCTTGTTTGTTATGTTGCTTCATGTTGTTTAATATTGTTTAAGGTTGTTTAGCATATTGATAACGGTTGATGTATCGATTGGGCGGATGATATCGTCCTTCTAAATTAGTTAAATAAATGTAAGTATGTTTGGTTTGTACCGACCGTGTCTGCTGTGCCCGTTCACTCCAAGAGCGTGGCGTGGTGCTCGCTGGCCGATTCGAGACCCCACAAAAAATACTCCCGAGTGCCTGTGCAAGCCAGTGCTACCACGGCTAAACACTTCGTCATGGTCAAGTGAGGTTGGGGACTGGCAAGAGTACTTATCAGCGAGTGACACTAGACTTTCTTATGTGGCATTGTGCAAATGACACTTGCGGCAAAGTGACACTTGCGGCCACTTGTGACGCGTATAAGCCATCATGGCACTTCAACACGGCAGCATGCGATGTTTCCTCCTTTTTTCATTGATTCATCCTGAGTCAGGAACTGCTCAGTGATTGTAAACATGCCCTTTATCCAATGCAGTTGATACCATACTCAGAGTGCCCCGCTGTTCATTTAGAGCGTACTAGCCCTAAACTCACCCAATGCTCTTACCATATGCTCAGTGACATGCTTGCAACCTTCAACGGCATAAAAGCGGGGACGTCATTCTTTCTTTCATAACTAACACATATGACACCATACTGAATTTTGACCCCTTTAAATTCACAACATTCCTCAGTGAACGATTTAAAACAGCGAAACCAGCAAACAATAGTTTATAGCATTAATATCTGCTGTCTTCACTCTCGGAAATTGTAGTGTTAACAGGCCACAACAAAGCTGAACAAAAAAAAAAAACAATTAACAATAAACTAAGAAAACAAAAAACCCTCGATTTTTACAGGAGACATTTGTTTTTTACGTTGTCCAGTTTTCCGGTGCTATTTTCAAGTTCAGCAATGGACACTTGTCAGCAAGAAGTACAATGTGAACCACAGGAACGTGAGCTGAAATTTTCTTCTACATCAACTAGTGCTGAGAGCACTGTTCTGCTATGGCACCGCATTCACCAGAGCAATGCTCTTAAAACAGTTCACCACTAGACGGTACGGACGGCAGTATGATTCGCATACTTTTGTTACAGGTATACTTATCTTATCTATTAGCACAATCATACACTACAGCAAGCCACAACCTGTGCATTATTTTTGAGACGGCACTGTTACTATGTTGCCCGATGGTGAGCACGTAAGATGCAGCACATTCAATGGGGCTGGATTTATATGCAGCACCAGTGCCTCCACAGCTTAATATTTTGTGAAACGAAAAACAAAAGAAAGCACTCTCACTCACATGGTGGTAAGAGTGCTGCTCTAGTGCCTGCTGCTCTGGCCCCGGTTCTGCAGCAGCAAAGCGGTTGTGTTGCAACAGAGCAAGCCCATCTCCTTGAGGTCCTGTAGCATGTGAGTACTGAACCCAGGTTGCCATGGGGCCAAGTTCAGCACCTAGGCTACTCCCACCTGCACCGCCACCCATACCTGCGGCACCTGCAAAGCAAGGGCTCAATGGTTTATATCTTTCAAGCCAGGCCTTTACGTCTATACTCACCGTATGAAAGCGTAAGTTTCATACTGAAATCGCTTAATCTGCCCTCCCTTGCCACGCGCCGTAAACTTGCAAGGCTATCTAATTTTCACTCGCTCTTCCACAGCAACTCCCAGTTAGCGCGCAAGCATATCCAACTCCCAGTTAGCGCGCAAGCATATCCTAACACCCTAACAAAGTTAATCCCATCTTTCCGAGAACAAAAACATTCCAAAACTCGCCCTTAGCCCTGTCAATAACCAACTGGAATTCCTTGCCAGCTGATGTAGCCACTCTAACAGAATCATCATCTTTTCTGAAAGCGGTAAAATTGTTCTTAAAAGTTCCAATCGATTAATGTAGTTATGCGGTGGTGTTGTTTATGTGAATTACTTGAATATTTTGTGTGTCTTATTCGCGCCTACACTTGCTACCTGGAGCCTATTGTATTTTGTTAACGTACCTTTTCTTCTGCTGAGTTTATATATGTTTTTTATTATCCTTATCACCACTGTGATGTGTACTCTTTTTTTCATTTTTTTTTTCATTTAAGCTTTATATAATGATGCTTCTGAATATTTAATACATGTTGAAAATCTTCCTAATCCCCCCCCTATGTAATGCCCTCCCGGGTCCTTAGGGTATGTAAATAAATAAATAAATAAATAAGATGCATTTGAGCTGCATAGTTTAATAGTTGCAGGAGGTAAAGAGGCAAGTGCCAATTTTAAAGATACAGCCAACCTGTAATGTCAGGTGAACCATGCGGCAGTGTTATTGAGCCCGCGAAGAATAATTATTGACTGCGTCTGCCACTGGAAGCACCATGCTCAATCAATCAGCAAATGCTCCACAATCATGAGCATTAGTGACATACATGGTAAAAGAGCACCTTATAATCTCACTACCCCCCTTTGCATAGACCCAAATGATGTCACTTTTCAGCCCCCTGTAAAGAATGGTCATTAACATTTACTCGTATGAGGCAAACTAGTAATTGCATAAATGAGAACACGAACTGCTATGCTTCACACTCAAATAAGAATAAAAGTGTGCATGACAATACCTGCACATACAATGCACAAATTAATACCAGAAAATGAGGCAGGAAATTCATTAGTGAGCCCATTTATATGATGCCAATAAATTCACACTTTTTGTAAGTCTAACTTGGACATTTCAATACCGCCTTACATTTTAAAGAAAATTCCCGAAAAAAACAAAACAAAACAAAACATTAACACAATGTGCCTTCTTTCTCAATAAATTCAAGGCAATAACAAGCCAAGGACAAGCCATTATGGCACTTCAACACTGCAGCCAACTTGCATACCTTTCCGCTTTGTTTCTTTAATTTTAGCACAGTCGAATCCGGCTATGACGAAGTCTGCTACAACAAAATTTCTGCCACAATGAATAAGTTTCGATTTCCCATCCGCTGCCCATGAAAAACACTGCGAAAAATGATTCGTCACCACAAATACCTTTTTACTGGAACTTCCGCTTCAATATAATTCGCGAGTACAAGCCTACAGGAACTAGGACTGCCATCAAATTTCACGACCAACTCGGCCATTTTCTCGTCGCTTTGTTACATCGAAAGCGTGCAGCAACATCGCAACACCTGGGTCTTTATTAGAGACACGATGTCTGCCACTACACACACATTTCGAAAAAGTTTTCACCACTGAAATTCTTCTCAACTGATCGCCTACCCACCATCATACAGCCGGTGGGTCTGATGCTTGCACAGGCCACGTTAGTATTGGGACTCTCAAGAATGAGCTCGAAACTACCACTAGCCGTCACTAGCCTTGTGATAGTGAATGACTACTTCAGTGCCGTGAAAACGCAGGTGCAACTAGCGCACACCTAATTCCAGCGTAACTACATTCTGCTGCAACCGCTGATAACACAAATGCAGCCATGTCCAAGCACTACGAAAGTATGCATGCATTCAACGGGCCCCCGACTCAACCCAATACTATTTGCCGCAATGCTGCATACAAAATCGCGTTCATGCAACCAAAAATACAGTAGAACACCGCTACAACGAACGCCGCTTCAACGAAATTTCCGCTACAACCGAATATTCATGATTCCTCGTAATTAGTCCATACAAATCAATGCACAAATATTGTAGCCACAACGAACCCTTTTTCTTCTATCTTCCCACTTCAACGAAATTTTACGATGCAATTCCAGGCTCAGATATTTTTGCTCTGCAGTGAACCCAACCTTTCACATTTTGAGATCCTGAAAATGCGTCAATGAAGTTTAAAATACGCGTTGGCACCACAAGAAACCGCCGCTATTCACCAAGCATGGGCGCCGCCATTGCTCGATAGCGGTGGCAATCAGACTGCCCTGCTTTTGCCACTCGCTTATTTCGAGTCGCGGACGATTTGAAGCTAAAGCTCAGTCGCTCATCGCTCAGTTCATGGTTTCCTTCACGCAGCTGCTGGGTACAACCGCAGAACGATGCCTTTTCCGATTCCGATGCTCATCATTACGTTCGCGCATGGCCAGTGTCGTAACTAATCAGACTAATCAGAGCGGCTGTTTGTCCGCATTATCAACAAAATCGGTTAGCCGCGAGTGATGGATGATAAGAATGGCATAGAATAATGCAAAAGTCGCCGCTACACGATACCCTGCCTTCATCTCGGCGTTGTCCGATACTTTTGACTGCAGACAGCTGCTGGTGTTAACGTGTTAATTCAACTGTTTGGTTCGTTCACAAAGGCGGTTTTAGGTGTGTTTCAGAGTGCTTTTTATCACGGCCTCGCTATATACATGGATGAAAATGATGTCGTGACGCTGCTGAGAAAGAATAGGAAGCAGTAGACATTTTTTTTTTTAAAATTTGAAAATAAACGTTCCTTTGTTTTGCTAGCTCAGATCAGCTTTATTTTTTTCTATTTCACTTCAGCGAAACTTTTCACGCACCCCGTCACTTTCGTTGTAGCGAGGTTCGACTGTATCAACAATGCAATTCTGAAAGCGCGCACACTGATTGAAAACTGAACCACTGTTTGCAGTAACTGCTGTGCAAGAAAATCGTCGCGTTCTTTGACAGCAAATACGCTCCTAAGGTGCACAGCTAGCACAGTTGTAGATTAGAGGCAATAAAATTGAAAAATGGCACAAAGCGTTACAGCTTTTCTGTTGCCCGCTTATGCTTATAGTAGTGCGGAGCTTCAGCACCTTCACTTGCAGTTTTTGCGCATGCTCGATCGTGGCGCGGTACACTCTTGGTACGTTCCAAGGGTCGTCTGAATATCGTATATTCTCAGGTATAACCCGTCCCTGCATATAACCGGCCCCACCAACAGAAACCGCAAGACATACAGAAAAAAACACCATTTTGGCACAAGGGCGCCTTCCTTGCCTTACCATGATGGTGTGCCTTAAAGCCACCTTGTGCACCGAAACTCATAAAACCTGTACCCTGATTTTAGCTCCAAATTTTCTGTATGTTTTGACCCTGTTATGCGCAATAAAATATGTTCACTCGGTGTGCAGCCAGGTACGTCCGAGTTAACAAGAGTTCACTACATGCGCTTGCTGGGACCAAATTCTGCTATAATAAATTTTTTCGTGCGTTCCGTCAATTTCGTTGTAGCAGGATTTGACTGCAGTTTCTTTATGCATACTTTAGGATGCGATGCAAACCGCCCAATAAACCATAATTTCTTTTAGCTTCACTGATGACTTTGCTCGGTAGTTACAGTAAGCCCCCTTGGTCCTACATTCTTCTAGCTCGTGGCAAGTGTTACTCACTGAAGTGTTGACATTCCACGAAAAGTGATGCGCCCCAAGGATGAAAACTGACATGCACTTCGGACATGCAATGCTATTTCTAGAGTAGGAATTCTATATTTCAGTGATCAGAAATCATTTACGCAATGCCTGAAGGTGCAATAAGATTGTGTAAGAGTTCTACAAGATTCTGAACAGCAGACATGCAATACCACATGACAAACAGCCCAAAAAGTATGCTATGCGCTGAGCCACCTCCACTAAGTTTGATCCAAGTGCTCAGGAAACTTTAAACAGCATCTCTTTGGACAATGCAAGGCACAAGCAGATATCACTATAACCTCATTATTTCTTCCTCAGCAATGCAAGAAAATTGGTGGAGAGTCTCTAAACCTTTCAACAATGCTCCTCCAAAATGAATGGCCTGTGTACAAATGTTTCTCAGTGCCAGCCTAAACCTTATTCCTCATGTTAAACCAGACTTTCACACATAAAAATGTGAATTCCTACAATAATGGTTATTAAATAAATTACCAAGGAGACTTGACTCGTATCAAGACTTAATTTGAATTTGTGAAAACTGTGGTTGCTGAGAACAAATTAATGCTGCAAAGGTCACTGTAAAGACGAAAATTCCAAAATACACGGATTGTCTATACTTTAAATACGTACTGCCATCACATACAAATTATTTTTCCAATTCACCATGGGAGAGTGCTGCGGAAAATGTTTCCTACTCAGTGGAATAATATCTTTATGGTTCTTTTATATTATGAATCAAGTGTCCATCATCTTGCATCTTTGGTGCAGCAGAATCACAAGCACAACACTATCATTGCTGTCACTGGCCTCTTCAAGGCATAAGTCTAAGAATTGTACTTTTAGCTTTAAACTGGATTAGACTGCATTTTAGATGGTACGAGTACTTTAGGGTGCCCAGAACATGGAATCTCGTAACAGTGGCCATGATTAGGAGGGGGAAGAGATAAACCATCTTAAAGCAACATTACAAATGGAAAATGCGCAAGTGGAAGGTTCTGGCCTTTTATTATTAACCCACTGAATCTAAGCACATAGGCATATTTGTGCTTCGGCACATCAATATGTGGCTTCTGGTGTAAATCGAATCAGTGACCTTGTGCTTAGTAGCAGAGAATGCCATGGTCAGCCAACCACTGTGGTAGGTGCCAAAAATTATGGTTATCAGTCAGTAAACGAACTTTATTTATAAACTGTTGCGAGGAGCCGATGCCCCTTAAGAGAGTGGGTTAGCTACGGGCCGCACCCACGTTGGGAGCTGACCCAACCTGGGACAAGAAGGGCATGCCCCTCCTCCAAACTGTAGGCCCCCATATCATCTTTCAAGAAAAAAAAAAAGTTATATTAGACAGCCCCAGAGCTTGGCACACCATTTTTAAAGGGGCTCTGCAACACTTTTTCAATGGTCTGAAAATGCTGCCAATCAGTGGTCCAGGCTTTGGTGCACAAATATGTCAGACAGACTTCACGGCACATCATACTGCAAGGAATACAAAAACTAGAAGTCACTTGCTTTTTTCTCAACAGCAATACCGTAAACCAAAATAATTGAGCCTCCATGGCCATTGGTCTGCTGTGAGCAGCTCAGTTATTTTAGCTGCCACACCTATGCACTCGTAGCTCACTCTATAGTGCTAGAATTATACATCATAGAAGTACATCAGAGAGCATGTAACCACACTGAATAGCGAGCTGTGCATTATAAAAGGAACAGAGGTTACGACAACCGCTGACTTATGGACGTTGCTTTTTGACACCTTGCATCCTGTGTAGTTTTCAGCACACTCACAGGGATGAGCCAGAAAAAGCATTCAGTCTCTATAACTCTGCTTGTATGTGACAAGTTTGATCAATTTTTATGGCAGTCAATTCATAGGATAATAAACTTCAATAGTGATGTCACTGGACAATTACTTGGAAAAGTATTGCAGGGCCCCTTTAGAAAGTGCTGTTTTACCAATAAAGATGGTTATAGCCCATAATGGGACTTTTGAGGGTCTCCAACTGAAATTTCTCCAGATTTAAAAACCAATTCGGTTCCTTTTTCACAGGCAATGGCTAAGGAGATGTGGAAATGCAACTTTCAAGTATCTTTCACTGCCTATACTCACAGACAACTTTTCTTGGCAATCAAGTTCGTGGGGGGTGCTAACACTCCCTGTAAAGTTTTTTGACGGTTGTCTTTTGCGGTGGGTCCGTGGTGCATAGCACCGCGGGTCATCTGCCGTGGGCCCTCATGATGAGTCGAGCGTTGGCGACGCCACCCTGTGTTTGTTATGTTGTCGAATGTAGTGGAATATTGTTTGTAAGGTTGTTTTAGCGTGTTGATCAAAACTGATGTATAATAATTGGGCTGGTGATATCGTCATTTTAAAATAGGTAAACAAATGTGTGTTGTCTGGTTCGTTTTGACCGCGTCTGCTGTGTCCGTTCACTCCTAGAGCGTGGAGCTCGCCACAGCGAGACCCCACAAGTCAGAACTAAATCGCATGTATCCACCTGCTGATGATTGTAGTCCTACAGTAGTGTACGTATTAGTTAGAGATAAAAAAATACTCCCTTTTCTACAAGTAGCTTTTAGAGAAAGGACACAACTCACTCCATTGAGATATTTGTATTTGTTGTACTTCATGCCTTGATACTTTGCGTTTTTGCATGCGTCCGAAAGTCGCGCCTTTTTAGGGTCCCTCAAATGCTATGTGGCCTCTGCATAGATATAAAATGATGACGTGATCACTTTTTCAAAGCAGTACGAAACAAGCATCAAACAGGTTATTACATGTGCAGGAGCTCTGCACCTCTTAACTTTCCATTCATTGCCAAGCAAAGTTGCCCGTGAATATCGGTTGAGATCCTTTGGCATTGGGGTGGTGCGAGACAGGTTATTTTAGGCATGCTTTTTCTAACTTTTTACGGGCATGCGTAAGTCGTGAATATAAACTGATAGCAAGTTTCCTCAGGAATTGTTCTGTTTTTTTTTGTTTTTTTACTGCTTAAACAGAGCTGGAAAGAGTAAGGGGAAGTGTGCCTGAAATGTATGGTTGATGGTCTCAAAAAAGCAGCTTAAAAGCTTACACCATGGCATCTCCTTTGTCACTTACCCTGAATGAAGATGGAACTAATTTGTTGCAAAACATCAAGTCGAGACACTTGAAAGTCATAATCAACCCAACCAGAAAGGCACTTCTGTAGAAATGCTCAGCTTCAAACTGCCTAGGCTTGTCTACCGGTGTGCAAGAAGCCAGAAATAAAACCTTTACAAGTGCAATGTTAAGGCACCCAGGGAATACTTTGCGGCTGAAGTTCCAAAACACAATACCACGAAAATTTTGGCTGAACTTTTACTACTCACTATCATTCTATGCTGGAGGTGTTTGGGAGGAAAAGCCGCTCAAAGTGAATGAGAAGTGAACAGCAAGTTAGCTCACTGTTGGAGTAGGACCAGATGCCTGGGAAGGAAGCATGAGCCCCCTTTTTCTGGGCCCGCTCCGTCCCGATGGGGCGAGGCAGCTTGCGGTCGTCCAGGCACCCACGGGGAGATAGGCCCCCTTGGGGTGACACCGCCGACGGGGAACCCTCTTCTGCACATGCAAGCAGGGTGGACAAGGTGTCAGCACTACATGCCTCAGAGCTTGACTAAAACAGTACTGCTCAAAATGACCATGTCAGACCAGCCATTGGTGCATCAGCAAACAGAGGTGGAAGTCAACACAGATATTCATGCATAGCCTTCACGTGGCTACTCAAGAGACAAAACAGATAGTGAGAGCTAAGCTACTAGTAGAAATTCGCCTCTTGAGTAGCACTATGGCAAACACAATGACTATCAAAATGGCAGGCACCAAGCCAGTGGCAGGCAAACACGCTGTTTGAAGTGAAATGCAATGTTATTGCATGCTTTTTCAGCCATGTTAGTAGTGCTTTTTGCTCTGTGTTGAAGCAATTTTACAAGCAGAAGTCATTCTTATTTCGAAATCAATCCCAAGACAAAGCTGAAAGATTTGCCTGTGGATTTGCATCAAGACTATCAATGCCAAATAGATAACAATTAGAAAGAAGTCAGCTTGACTTGGAATCTTCTGCTGAAATTCCTGCCAGAGAAATATTCCTCTTCCCACGATAAAATTGAAGATTATGGTCTGCTGAATTCGGCTTGTCCATGTGAACAAATCATTCATTCGGGAAGCATCCCTCTTGAAACAATTCACTTTTGCAACAGGCACATAGTTACGGGGTGACAAATTCCTATTACCATTGACATTATTTTACAACTTCATGACCAACTGTAGCACTATACTTCTTACTTTGACTCTGCTCGTGTGGAAAGTGTCACAGATGGGTGCAGACTGTCAAGAAAGACTGGCGACCACCCGAGAGCAGCAGAGTATGTTTTCAACACGTTTACTGTATAACCTGCAGCCAACTGCATCAGAACTGCCGTGTCACTAACTCAAATATAACACGACCTGTTTATCATTATTCCCCCATCCCCTAAAAAGGAGAAAACAACACAGCAGCTCAAAGCTTGTTGGATTGTGCAGAGCGCATAATGCATTATGTAGGACTGACACTTCCACGTTTATATGTACATATATACCCTAGAAAGTGGATGGTGCGATAACTGCCACCATAACTCAGTAGGTAGAGCATTGGGGGCGTTATTAGAAGATCTCAGGTTCGGTCCCTGCCGGCCGCAACTCATCTTTTCGTCCACCATTCTTTCTTCACATTTACATTACAATAGCATCCTTTATGCTTTTCTTGGAACCACTGTCTGTTAGTTTTTATTAATATTGTGTGTGATAAAGAAAAGGAGCCCTTAAATTTTACACTTTTCTTCAAACTGTATAATAATTGTTGAGGTTTTAAATCTCAAAATTACAACATGATTATGAGGAATGCTGCAGTAGAGGGCTCCGAAAATTTCGAACTGCATTTTTTAATGTGCACCTATATCTAAGTACATGGGCCTCTAGCATTTTTGCCTCCACTGACAATGCAGCCACTACAAATGCACATAATGTAGTACTCAATCTAGCCATGACTGAATGAGCACTGCACATTTTTAAGGTAACAAATAGTGGAAGGAAAATAGAAGCCTCAGCGGGGGACAAATATATGATGAGGGGACTGGCCCAAGCAAAGACTAGCCCTGTGAAAATATGGCTACCAAGCTAAGCCTTCTCTCCACTGCCCATTGCTAATCACTAAGACTCCACCTGCCCACAAATTAAGATGCTTTAGGGGGTACAGCTGAAGCAGATATACAAACATATGCAAGCACGTTTATTGGTCTGTCCATGCATACAAAAGGTTCTAGCACGAACTACAAACAGATTTATTGGAATTCAAAATGCAGAGTGACAAAGCATGGAGTTCATTAGGGAAGGTGTTTGCGCTTGTTGGCTTGGCATGATACAGAGTTAAAGAGCATAAGATGACAGAGAAGAGGTTTTACACACATGAGCGCTGACTTACGAATTTTCATTCTAATCAAAGACGTGGTTGCAATAGCTAGGACGTGCAATATCGGTAAGCATCAGTGCACGGCTCATTCACCGTTCTACGTAATGCGCTCTCAATGGCCAAAGATTGTGCTATAAAAGCACTTTCTCTTACACCAGCATTTTGTAGTTGTCAGTGTTGCGATGTCTGATCCAAAAGGGTTAGCTGTCAGCCTTCGTATTGTCGGGGTCGTGAAGTCGAGGAATGGCAGCAGCCACTGTTTTGGTGAGTGAACTATTTATTTGGGCTAACCTGTGCCAGGAAAACGAAACGTCCCTCTACAAGTAATATACGCTGTAGACTGATAGCAGCGGACATAGAGCGTCGGCTGTCGATAATCTGCAATGTAGCAATTTACGGCGGCCTTTATACATGTGCCATTGAAGATTTCAGGGTTATCGCTAGCAGCTGCGTTAGGTGCCAGAACAAACTGTAACGTATGCGTTGTGTATGTGATCTCATCAGAAGATTCCAAGATTATCTAGATAGTCCCCAGCCATTCGGACGCTGTTTGCACAAGGCAGCGTTACATGCGTAATGGTGCGTTAACAAAAAACAGAAAGGAGCATGTGCGCCATCATCATTACAACATTATAAATGGTTGCTATTGCAGTCACCACTAACAGGTGTAACTGATTTAAAAAAAAATTTTTTTTTTTTCAGTTTATATGGTAAAAAACTCTCCACACCCTTGCCGAGCAATCCCCGAGCACAGCATGCACACGGTGGTTGCTTGGCAATGGTGCGGCAAGTTTTTTTGCAACAACACTGCCGTCTTTATAGCTTGCCTAGCAGTTTTGCTGTTAAAACATATATAGAGTCGAATAACAGGTATGCACACAAATGCCACCTCAACAAGAATCATGCGTTGTGTTCACGTGGCGCAATATTTATGCATGATCCGAAATATAATGTTTGATATGAACGCGGAATTTCAAACGAACGCGATTGCGCCCTTTGAGTAGCCCACACGTGTTGTTTGGTCCATGATAAAACTCTGGACTAAAATTGGCGTAGCAGGTGCAAATTGCCGTTTAGGCGTGGCTTGGCGCAGCAGGTCAGATTGGTGCAGTATGGGGCAATTGGCGCAGCACTTCCACCCCTGCTCTAAGCCATGAGAAGTCTTATCTTCGGATTTACTGCAAAAAGTTATGCTGCTTCAGCCAGAACTGCTGGATTGCAAGCATTGCTCAGCAAGACAATGCAACTAACAGTCACACAACAAATAAACAAATGTATACAAAGAATAATAATAACTTGAACACCGAATATCAGACTAATGCTGTGTGGCGAAGACTTCTCACATGACAATTGACAAAAATGATGGTAATATAGACGTTTTTTTTTGTACAGGTAGACTGGACACAAAAATGTAAAAGTGAAACATTCTGCTGTAGTTTTCAACTCAACTAGCAAGCGTGACAAAAGTAAAGTTTACCACAGTCAGCAAGGAGCCAATATCCCTAGTTGTGGTCACGTAACCATTAAAGCAAGATAGTTATGAATAGCGTATTATAACAATAAAAAAAACCTTCCCAAAAAAGAAATGCCGACCACAATAAAAAACTTCAATACTGAAGGCCCACTACGATCTTACTTACAGCTGATACCTGGATTCTTTTATTCGCTGTGTTGAAAAGAGACTGTCACACTCTGCACATTAAAATGACGAGCCTCCGAAAAAAACTAGCACTGGTGTTTTATGTGACCAAAATCGGCAAATATTTGGCTCAAGTATTCAGCAGCTACAACGTACAAATTGCCCATGTCTCCACACACAAACTAAAACACTGTCTGATCAAAGTTAAAAAAAAAAATAGTCGAAAGAAAAGTAGATTGATTGATATGTGGGGTTTAACGTCCCAAAACCACGATTTGATTATGAGAGACGCCGTAGTGGAGGGCTCCGGAAATTTAGACCACCTGGGGTTCTTTAACGTGCACCCAAATCCGAGTACACGAGCCTACAACATTTCCGCCTCCATCGGAAATGCAGCCGCCGCAGCCGGGATTCGAACCCGCGACATGCGGGTCAGCAGCCGAGTACCTTAGCCACTAGACCACTGCGGCGGGGCTCGAAAGAAAAGTAACCCGGAGTCGTATATACTCCAGCCCTTGCACAAGATGCAATCAACGTTTACGTGGGCGAGACTGCAAGTTTCGATCATAGAGTGAAACAAGACCCCTAAGATGTCAGGAAAAAGAGTGCTGCATCTAATGCACTGACAGAACGTGCAGAATTAACTGGCCACACTATCAATTGGGACAATGCTAGCATCACTGAAAGAAAAAAAAAAGAAAAATTTGTCTTCACGTCTTTATCTTGAATATCTGATACAGAGAACAGAGCACAACCTGAACCCCAATGATAAAACTTTCCTCACGTGTACGCACGACGCTTGTGATACCTACTGAAATATACTTCGCTTGTGATAGATTTGTACTTCATGGTGCACAAGGCTCCCATGTGGGAGCCGAACATCTCTCTCTCTCTTTTTTTTTTTTTTGAAGTGTTTTACTGTGGTCGGCCTTTCTCCTTTTGCAATGCCTTCTCCCAACCAGACGGAGTTCCGTCAAACTCTGAACTTAAAAAAAAAAGTATAATACAAATAAGCATGTGTATCTTGCACACAAGAAAACATGGCACTTATATGAGAAACCAGAGCTACTCAATTTGACAAGAGGAGTGCGAGGCCTCTTCTTGCTCTGTTCAATGCAGACTAACAACATAACCACAAAGCCAAAATTGATGCAAGAACCACTTACCCGCAAGCCGCACTGCAAGCGGTGTGCGTTCGGCACCCTTGGGCATCTGTCCCACAGGGGCCACTAGACCAGAGTACTGCGGCTGGAGGTGTGACATCATTTGAAGCGAGAATACCCCTGGGTGAGTTCCCAGTGCTCCTGGAGCTCCCTGATGGTGGTGTGCCAGGTGGCTGCTACTTTGCACTGAGTGCAGAAATTCCTGCGGTGGTGCAAAGGGTACTCGCATTCCATGGTGACCTGCTGTTGCTGCTGGGTGCTGATGGGGGTGGTGGTGGTGGTGGTGACTCGCACCCACTTGAGCGAATGGTGCCGGAAGCATCACCGGCTGCGCTGATCTACTAGAAAAGTCCGGTGCATTGGGGTTCAGAGTGCTCTGGATAGTTGGTTGCTGCTGCTGAGGCTGCTGCTGCTGCTTTTGTTGCTGTTGTTGCTGCTGCTGTTGTTGTTGCTGTTGTTGCTGCTGCTGGTGCTGCTGCTGGTGCTGCTGCTGCTGTTGCTGTTGCTGCTGCTGTTGTTGTTGCTGCTGCTGCTGCTGCTGAGGTGGTGGCACCAGCTCAGATGCCGTTGACGCATAGTGAGGTGGACCGAACACCATGCGCGAGGATGGTGGCTGTGGGGGAGCTTGCACTGCATGTGGCACTGCCGTTGCTGGTGCAGAGGCACTCTCATAAAATTCTTGCACCTGCGTTGGTGGTTGGGGTGGCGCTTGTGACTGGGAAGGTGGTGAGGGTGGTGCCCCTCCACTACTAGGGGGTGTGCAAGGGGCACTTCGCATTCCACTGCCAATAGGACCAAAGTTAGGTGGCGATACGTGCAGGTTGCCTCGGTAGCCTGGAGCCTTGGCTGCATCCACAAGAGGTTCAGGCAGTGCTTGTGCACTTCCTACACTGCCGCCACTGGAGCTAGGGACACCACACACACCGGAAGCAGCCACAGAGGCAAAGTTAGGCTTGGAGGATTCTCGCTGGCCCCAGACACTCGGCTGTGTCTCTTTGCTGAACACATTGTTGAAGGGCGAGAAGGTCTGCGGAATGCTGATAGCTGGTAAAGTGTTGGTTGCGGAGGTACTAGCTGGCATAGAAAAGGCTGCAGAGGTACTGCTTACAGTAACAGCTGTTGACGATGCTGTCATATGGCCAGTACTGCCCAGTGTTGGTGAAGGGCTGCCACCACCCGAGCTGGGCGATGAACTAGGTCGTGCATCGGCAGAAGCTGCACGGCTCGAGCTCTTGGCTGGTGAAATAACAGCTTGGGTGTATGACGCTGATGTAGATGTCCCATTCACGGCCGCTGAAGTGGACGACATGGACAAGAATGCTGTGACTACAGCAGACGCAGTGGTAACAGTTGTCGATGCAGTCAAAGCAGGCTTTGAAGAGGCAGAGCACGATGCAAGTGTGCCCCAACCAGAAGAGCCTGAGGTAAATGGAGGAGCCGCTGATGACGTCACTGATGCTGAGCTACTGCCTCCACCGGAGAGAGTAGGTATCCCAGGTCGGGGGGCGGGACGTGTTTGGCCAAATGGTGGCAGAGAGGGTGCTGGTGCTGATGCAGCCTTCACACCCACCACCTTGGTTGAGCTGCCCTGCCGACTGAGCTTGTTACTACTGCTACCACCACTGCCAGAGACTAGCACCGAAGAAGAGCCCTGAAACAAAAGAAAACAAGGTTCATTAGGCTTCACCGCAACTTTGCATTCATTTATTTACTGGCATTTATTGATTATTCAAAAACTAATGCACCCAGTCAGCAAGTTGAAATGTACTTGAGTCGCTATTATTGTGACTTGCCTTTATAAAGAAGAAAAATTATCACTACTTTTAATTGGTAGATATTCTGCTAGTTGTTATTGTTGAGCTTATAAACAGGGTGCTTGCAGCGAGTCCATTTTCATACTCCTTGCTACACAAAAGCAACGAGAACTTGCACTTCTGTTGTTCCCAAGCGCCAGATTTAAACAATGCCAAGACTGCCATTTCAGCATCCACACACAAGATGCTGTTTGCCATCAATAAAACCAGCACTCGAACTAATCCAAGTGCAATGGAAGGGGGACATGGCCCTGCAGTCACTTAGCAAAATGTCTCACCATAGCAACGAATCTCTGACAATTTTCGGAAAAGAAAAAGGTTACTTTTGCAGCACTAAAAAAAATTTGGAGCATGTTACTACACATCTAGAGAATTTATCTGCATATTAGGCACACTTTTTTTCCCCAGAAAATGTGGCAGCAAGTTTGGGGTGTGCGTACTACACGGGGTAAAATTTCCGAAAATTTAATTTCATAGTACAGCTTAGACTGTTGATAGAATCGAAAGTTGGGCTAGTTGGATATGCATGGTATAACTATCATTTAAAGCGCACGAAAAACAGAGATAAAGAGATTTTTTTTTTTTTTTTTTTTTTTTTAGAGAGAACACTGTGCCTGCCTGGTGGGCTCCAGACGGTAATGACACGTTTTTATTAGTCTTGAATCAGTCATTGTCCTCATCATCTTCCTCTTCCTCATTGTTGATCTGGAAGTACCGCAGCTCAAAGGCATCCTTTGTGGTCGCCACCACTCGGAGCCAGTCCCGAAGGTTGTTCTTCTTCAGGTACTTCTTTGTCAGATACTTTAGGTACCTCTTTGAGAAGGGAACCTCGGCGGTGACAGTGACCTTGTTCTTGTCCTTGTCCACTGTGATCACCCCAGACAGATTGTTAGTCTTCCCATTGTACTTGATGCGTTCACGCAAGTAGCTGTCGAATTCCGCCACTTTCCTGTCCACTTTCCACTTTCCACTTTCATGATGCCATCTTCGACTGGATGCGTGCAGTCGATGACGAACTTGGTCTGCACCTTTTTCTTCTTGCCTTTGGACTTTGCCTTCGCGGGCCGCTTGACGTTTTTCGCTGGCTGTGTCTTGTCCTCTCTTTATGTCTGTTTTTCGTGCGCTTTAAATGATAGTTAGACTGTTGATAACACACGTTGCCGAAGTCAAGAATATCTGCACTACAGCTGAAACAACCTCTTTCATAGGCTGCACTAGCGCAATACTCGTTGAGCATGCGGTCTTGGGTGTACAAGAATCAAGGCACGCGATGTAGTGTGCATTCAAATTCGCATAACACAGAAAGACATGCACTGCCAACAGAATGAACGCAAAGGGGGGGGGGGGGATGCCATCACGGCAGATTTTGTTTCAGGCCACCCCTACTGTAAAAACCGGAAAATAGGTCGACCCCCAAACTTTGAATCTCCAAAAAAGAAATATTTAAAAATTACAAAGTATCACGAAGCACCCTTACATTAGTAAATACGCGACACACCCAACTGCACTGTGGTGACGTTTCTTTTTATTTCGACCCTGATCTTATGCAGTTTAAAGCCAGGAGGCAACAGAGTGCTGTCACTAAGACTTGTCCAAACTTGAGTCCGACGACGTTCCTTTCTCACGAGTCAAGTCCTCCATCCAACGCGTTGCTGATGCAGAATTTGTGGAAAGACTTGCGCACCATCTCTTACAGGAGAGAGTTCGAAGCTCACGACACCTAGCCACAAACTGTCGCTAGCAGTGGATGTTGTATGCGGCCAGTGGGGATCATGGGATTGTCGCCCAGCATCCCCTCATTGTAGAGCCCGCCCACACCATCTTTGAACAGTTTAGTGAACAAGACATCCAGTGGCTGGAGGATTGACGTTAGTCGCCCAGGGATTACGAAAAGGTCAGTCTTGCCATTGGACAGGACACCCTTCTAATAGGCTGTGAGGTGGCCTCAAAATGAGCCGAGCGCCAACATGCTCGGCCTTTGAAAAAGCGCACCAGGTTGTCGATTTTACACGAGCCGGATCAACTCAAGCATGAGAGACTTATTCATGAACCCTTATTCTTTTGCTCATAGAGTTTACTAATATACACTAGAGAAAACTCTGGCACTAGTGTCTATGGGAGCTGCAACACACGGCGCTTCAGCGAGCATGGGAATGATGGGTAATACACACATTTGTCTAATATTTGTACTTCTGGCCTGCTTTTGGCTCCGTGCGTGTTCGTGTGGTTTGGAGCTGTTTGCTCCCAAAATAAATATAAGCAAATGTTCAGCGGTTGCGCTTCACCATCTTATTCTTTGACTTATTTTTCCAAATCAGGTCACGAAGTTCAAAAGGATTGAATCTTTCTTTCAAAACAAAACCGAAACTCAGCAATAAATAACACCACAAGTACGATTCACCGTCCGCAAGTACGAAGACCAGGCAAAATGTGTGTACTACCCATCATTCCCATGGTCGCTGAACAATCGCAGCGCCAGAGTCCCCTCTAGTTAATTTTAAGAAACTCTATCCTTTTGCTCTCACGATAAAATCTTAGGGAAAATCTTTTGGTAGCCCTTACCTCTTGAAAATGATACAGCAGTGATGGAAGCGACATTTTGCTTTTTGGAGCAGATTCTGGAGTAAAACAAATGGTGTTTTGGAGTAGGCTCAAGTGTCTTCGGAGCAGAAGAAAATGCTATAGTTTAGGGTCGCTATTGATGTTTTCAGAGCAGAGCATGTTCCTAACGACTCTTGAAGTCTAAAGCATCACTCAAGCATCTAATAAATATTTACATTTATTATTATAGATGCCATATGCTAGTATGCAGCTAGTATACAAGCAGTATAATTGGCGTAAATCAGGGGTCGGGTCAAGAGAGTGCATATGACATCTTCCGCGTGTTAGAACAACCATCGAATTCTCAAACAGAAAGTAAACCACCCATCTTGAACGAGCATGAAACAACGCGGTGAGGGGGGAGTGGAATAGCTCGAGTAATAATAATGAACTTAGATTTTTAGGGTGGTCACGATCACTGGCGCATTTGCTATCTCGGCGAGTATCAATGTGACTTGTGGGGTCCTGACACCTCTTGTAAAGTACCATATAAACCGGAATATAAGTCGAGATATTTTCAATAAAATAATAAGCTAAAGTCGCCCCTCGTCTTATATAATGGTGTTCAGCCAAAAGTGCGACGCTGTCTGGCGACATGTAACTTGCATGTGCTTGTGAAGCCGGACGCGGCCATATCCGCATCCAAATCCATGCGCAGTCTGTTTTTTTTTTCTTTGTCTGTTTTCTTTGTGTTCGTGATTTGCTTCCGATCTGTTCTGAGTTTTCGCTCTGCTTGACATTGTACTGCATTTATAGTGGCCTTTTTTTTTTTCGTTCACTGAATATGTCTAGCGGTGCAAGGAGGCGGTGCGAGGAGGCAGTACTCAGCTGCGTTTAAACTAGATGTTGAGTTCGCAGAAGCGAACGGGAACATGGCTGCTCAGCGCCGCTTTGGTGTATCGCAAAAAAGCGTGCGCTATTGGAGGGTGCAAAAAGGAAAGCTGCAGAGGTGCAATCCACAAAAAATGTTTCGTGGACGAAGTGTCGTTCATCCGCAGCTGGAGGATAAGCTAGCGGACTTTGTGCGGGAAGTTCGTGCGCGCTCGCTAGTCCGGTTTATACGGTAGTTTGCGTCGCATGGCACATGTGTCTCACACAAAAGCCGTATTTCGAAGGTGACAACTTTTGAGCGATAGGTGGCGTGTTAGCGAGCGGTGATCCTCACTATGATTACCATGGTTATTAGATCGGTAGCACCGACGGTGACCCCCTGGTGGCAAGCCTTGGTGGTGACACAAGAGAATTAAGCGAGTCTCTTTGGCTGGTGGCATTTGGCGCAAACCATTGTCTCTCACAGTGGGACTCCGGTGCACGGCACCGCGGGCCATCTGCTGGGGGCCCCTGTGGCGAGTCAGGCGTTGGCGACACGACCTTGTTTGTCATGTTGATTGTTGTTTAATATTGTGTAAGGATGCCCTAGCGTGTTATATCACGATTGATTTGATAATGATTCGGCTGACAATATTGTCATTCTAAATTGGTTAAATAAATGCATGTTTGGTTTGGTTTGTCCCCACCCTGTCTGCTGTGTCTGTTAACTTTAAGAGCGTGTTGCTCACCAATTCGAGACCCCACAGGTTTCAAGGGGAACGGACTGTGTGAAAAGAGCACTTTTCTCTCGAGCGGCTGTATTTGCTCACACCAGCGTTTTGTAAGAGTTTCGCGATATCGAATTCAAAAGAGTTGGCTGCCAGTCTCACTTCACATAACATTACATTTTTTTTTTTTTTTGCTATTGCGTTCATCGCATTCCACGCAACACGTCGTCCTGTTGTTGCCAGAACTAATCAGCTAATCGTGAAAGCTACCAGCCTGCGAACTTGCGGTCCAAGACGGAAGCGCGCCACAAGTCGACCTCCGAATATCCGTCGTCACCGTGGTCTCGAAGAGTTTCCATCAGCGCCTAATCTGACTCACCCTTCGAGGTTGACGACACAGTTGTCCGAAATTAACAAAAGTCACAGTTTCGTCGCAAGGCCAAAGCAATGTGATAGCAACAACTTGGAATTAACGCTGAAAAGCGCGCTGCTTCCGCAGAAATGACGCACGAAAACAACATACACAGGACAAGAGCGAAGTAACATTGTTCCCGCTCGACACTTAACGCGCTGTTTAAACAAAAACAAGGCACGAAGCGGTACAGATATGAGTGCCAACCAACAATGTGCCCCAGTTGTTACTTTGCCGTGTTTGAAAAGGGCATTCTTTTTGCAAACGGCCCCTGACCTGAGAGCGA